TTTTGTCTCCTGGTATCCATTTATAGAGACACCAGAGACAAGTTGCAAGGAAACACAGTGCAAGCATGTTATTAAATTTGCTTGCACTGCGCAGAACAAATACAGGACTTTTTTCTCATGCTAGAGCTCTTCAGCAGAGCTCTGCGCATGGTCTGCCCTGGAAGAGCATTCAACCAACATGCTCACTTTGAGAGGAGGCGTGTTTGTCATTGGTGATGACAAAACACACCTCCTCTGCCCCGCACCCTTCTTAGTGGGCCGCTGTGTTAAAAAAATGCCCGGGCTGAATTTTTCTCCCAGTCCGGCCCTGGCTAGCACCCAGACCACAGCCTGAATTCAACAAATGATGCTGAAATGTGACCCGAAAATAATACTATCAGGCAGCATAAAACCAGCAACAACGTGTAGCGTTTACACCAAGGGAACAGAAATCCGACGCTATGGAACTGAGATTATTAAAACCGGGTGATGTTTCTCCAATATTCAGATTTGGAGATCAGAGGGAGAATAATCGGGATAACACGGGGCGACTTGAGTGCAAAGTGATACATGTTTAGAGACATTCTATTGGTTTCCATGGTGACTGCTCGTTATTTAGCACTTATTGCTCTGATAACTCTCTCCTTATGTTTACTGTTGAGAAAGTACTGGGGTCACCGAACGCGCTCAGTGTTATCTGTTTACTATAATGAGGGCTATCCTAGGGACTGGCCCCCCTAAATCAGGACACCTGGCAGGTATGGGGCCCTGGCTAATCCCAGCATAGCCATGGCACAATTAGGACAGTCAGGGGCCCCTAGTACAGTGTGGGGGCCCAGCATGGAGAACCCTGGCTCCAGATGGTGTTTGAATACCAATAATAGTGAAGAAAGAGTGCCGCGCGGATGGATAATATTCTATTCTATTATCCTTCCGCTGGGCGGTTTAGAATGTGGGCAGATCCGGCTATGCAGGGAGGGGCGGAGGGATTCACTCTCTGATGTGAGGGCGGTGCGGTAAGATAACAGGAGCAGAGCAGGTGGAGTGCGGTCCTCCTCCGCGGAAGGATATCGCAGAGTGCTGATTTTGGCGGGAATTCTGGGCTGGAGCTGTGTGACCTTCCCAACCAAAACAACATCACAGTGTGACCCTCCCAACCAAAACAACATCATCACAGTGTCAGCCATGGAGAATAACCAGCAACCAGGGCTTCCTAAGGACAGGTAATATAATAATAATAATAATAATAATACTCTGTGTATCCCAGTAATTAATATAATACCCTGTGTATCCCAGTAATTACTATAATACTCTGTGTATCCCAGTAATTACTATAATACTCTGTGTATCCCAGTAATTACTATAATACTCTGTGTATCCCAGTAATTAATATAATACTCTGTGTATCCCAGTAATTAATATAATACTCTGTGTATCCCAGTAATTAATATAATACTCTGTGTATCCCAGTAATTACTATAATACTCTGTGTATCCCAGTAATTACTATAATACTCTGTGTATCCCAGTAATTACTATAATACTCTGTGTATCCCAGTAATTAATATAATACCCTGTGTATCCCAGTAATTAATATAATACCCTGTGTATCCCAGTAATTAATATAATACTCTGTGTATCCCAGTAATTAATATAATACTCTGTGTATCCCAGTAATTAATATAATACTCTGTGTATCCCAGTAATTACTATAATACTCTGTGTATCCCAGTAATTAATATAATACTCTGTGTATCCCAGTAATTAATATAATACTCTGTGTATCCCAGTAATTACTATAATACTCTGTGTATCCCAGTAATTAATATAATATCCCAGTAATTACTATAATACTCTGTGTATCCCAGTAATTACTATAATACCCTGTGTATCCCAGTAATTAATATAATACCCTGTGTATCCCAGTAATTAATATAATACTCTGTGTATCCCAGTAATTAATATAATACTCTGTGTATCCCAGTAATTACTATAATACCCTGTGTATCCCAGTAATTACTATAATACTCTGTGTATCCCAGTAATTACTATAATACTCTGTGTATCCCAGTAATTACTATAATACTCTGTGTATCCCAGTAATTACTATAATACTCTGTGTATCCCAGTAATTAATATAATACTCTGTGTATCCCAGTAATTAATATAATACCCTGTGTATCCCAGTAATTAATATAATACTCTGTGTATCCCAGTAATTAATATAATACTCTGTGTATCCCAGTAATTACTATAATACTCTGTGTATCCCAGTAATTACTATAATACTCTGTGTATCCCAGTAATTACTATAATACTCTGTGTATCCCAGTAATTAATATAATACCCTGTGTATCCCAGTAATTAATATAATACTCTGTGTATCCCAGTAATTACTATAATACTCTGTGTATCCCAGTAATTACTATAATACTCTGTTTATCCCAGTAATTACTATAATACCCTGTGTGTCCCAGTAATTACTATAATACTCTGTGTATCCCAGTAATTACTATAATACCCTGTGTATCCCAGTAATTACTATAATACTCTGTGTATCCCAGTAATTACTATAATACCCTGTGTATCCCAGTAATTAATATAATACCCTGTGTATCCCAGTAATTAATATAATACTCTGTGTATCCCAGTAATTACTATAATACCCTGTGTATCCCAGTAATTAATATAATACCCTGTGTATCCCAGTAATTAATATAATACTCTGTGTATCCCAGTAATTAATATAATACCCTGTGTATCCCAGTAATTACTATAATACTCTGTGTATCCCAGTAATTAATATAATACTCTGTGTATCCCAGTAATTACTATAATACTCTGTGTATCCCAGTAATTAATATAATACTCTGTGTATCCCAGTAATTAATATAATACCCTGTGTATCCCAGTAATTAATATAATACCCTGTGTATCCCAGTAATTAATATAATACCCTGTGTATCCCAGTAATTAATATAATACTCTGTGTATCCCAGTAATTAATATAATACCCTGTGTATCCCAGTAATACAAAGCCGGAGTGACCGGCAGGACGTGAGCGTACAGCGCTCCCTCCTGCCAGGCACTCTGTGTAGCGTGGCCGAGCGCACCGCGGTACAGGAACTTATGTTTCCTGTACCCGGGCGGCCGGAAATGAAGTGCTCACAGAGAAAGCACTTCCTCTCCGCCGGGTACAGGAAACATAAGTTCCTGTACCACGATGCGCTCGGCCACGCTACAAGGTAGGAGCTCAATGGGGGGGGGGACGACACTGAGGGAGAGCTATGGGGGGACACTGAGGGAGAGCTATGGGAACGACACACCGAGGGAGAGCCGGGGACACAATACCACTGATGGAGAGCCATGGGGAACTTCGAGGGAGAGCTAAGTGGGGTGAACTGAGGGGAGAGCCATAGGGGAAACTGGAGGGAGAGATATGGGAACGAGGAGAGATATGGGGAACTGAGGGAGAGCCATGGGGAGGTGGGAACTGAGGGAGAGCTGGGGAACCGGAGGAGAGCCATGAAACTGAGGGAGAGCCATTTGGGGGAAAACTGAGTGGGAGAGCCATAGGTGAACTGGAGGGAGAGCTATGGGAACTGAGGAGAGCCATGGGAACTGAGGAGAGCCATGGGAACCGGGGAGAGATGGGGGAAAACTGAGGGAGAGAGATGGGGGAAACTGAGGGAGAGAGATGGGGGAAACTGAGTGGGAGAGAGATGGGGGGGCTAAACTGAGTGGGAGAGAGATGGGGGGGCTAAACTGAGTGGGAGAGAGATGGGGGGGAAACTGAGGGAGAGATATGGGGGGGGGAACTGAGTGGGAGAGATGGGGGAACTGAGGGGAGAGTTATGGGGGGAACTGAGGGAGGTATAGGGGGAGAAAACTGAGTGTGGGACGGGGGAGAGGGGGGACGACATACACACAGCACCCCTGCCCTACACATATCACCCCACACAAAGACACCCACACATCACCCACCCACACATCACATCACCCCACCCACACACACAAACACATACAATGTACCCCTCAATGCAGTGTGTGTACACTCAGCAGTCTGTCTGTGTGTGTACACTCAGCAGTCTGTCTGTGTGTGTACACTCAGCAGTCTGTGTGTGTGTGTACACTCAGCAGTCTGTCTGTGTGTGTACACTCAGCAGTCTGTGTGTGTGTGTACACTCAGCAGTCTGTGTGGGTGTACACTCGGCAGTGTGTGTGTGTGTGTACACTCAGCAGTCTGTGTGTGTGTGTGTACATCAGCGTCTGTGTGTGTGTACACTCAGCAGTCTGTGTGTGTGTGTGTACACTCAGCAGTCTGTGTGTGTGTACACTCAGCAGTGTGTGTGTGTACACTCAGCAGTCTGTGTGTGTGTGTGTGTGCACAGCAGTCTGTGTGTATGTATTTAGCAGTCTGTGTGTGTGTACTCGGCATTCTGTGTGTGTGTGTGTGTGTGTGTACTCGGCAGTCTGTGTGTGTATTCAGCAGACTGTGTACTCAGCAGTCTGTGTGTGTATTCAGCAGTCTGCTAAATACAGACAGACTGCTAAGTACACAGACAGACTGCTAAGTACACACACAGAGATGTTAATTAGTTCGGACAACTGTATGAGTTGTTTTTTCGAAACTTAAACCTCAGTATTCAGGTTTAATTGCCGTTTTGGCACTTTGAGGGGAAAAAAATTGGCATGTATTACGGTTTGGGCACTCGGGCTCAAAAAGGTTCGCCATCACTGTCCTATACTGACCATACACAGAGTGCTATCTATACCTCCCATACTGACCATACACAGCGTGCTATTTATACATCCTATACTGACCATACACAGCATGCTATCTATACATCCTATACAGAAGACCTACTCAAAATTAGTTATCAGTTCAGCAAATTCTAACCTATGTTTTGGAGCATATGACAGAAAAAAAGAACTCTCCTCTTATTTTCCTTTTTAATTTATCAGAAGCTGTCTAACCTTGGACCAGTTGTTGGCTCAGATGCACAGTGCTTTGGACAGATAATGTGGAAGTGGAAGTGTAGGGAATTCCAGTGAGTGCACTACTTTTTTGTCAGATCACTCCAAACTGAAAAAAATGGGGGAATGACAGTATAGTAATAAAACTATTACAGTGAGCAGTTTAACAAGATGATGTGGTTGTTGTGATTAGATTGCCATCTTAAACCGATTCATTTGCACTTAAGTTTTGCATGGTAACAAACTGTGTATCTAACTTTTTTGCTTTGTTTAAGAATTTTGGAGACAGAACAAATATCTTCGTGCCAAGATGGTGTCTCTAAGGAAAATGGCAGCATTGAAGTGCTTGGTAACCTACATACAGAGGTTTCCAAACCTCAAGAAAGAAGAAAAGTGCATCATCCCTCTTCAAGGTCATCAACAGCAGGATCCTCTCAACAAAAGCCTTGCAACACTATTGACAAATTTATGCAACCATCCTCTAGCATTGGGTCTTTGGATCTTCAGCCTTCCAGTTTGGGTCGCTCAGGGTCCTCGGGAATTGCTGGGATGACTGTTCCAATCCGTTTGGATGCTCTTTCATATTTGCTGAATAATGCACTTATGGGTGCCTACAAAATGCCTCCATCTCCTTTCTACAGTGGGCAGTATATTCCAAATATGTGTCAACCGTGCCCTGTTGCTCAGATGGGCTGCACACCTTATGGCTCATGTATGAATCAATCACATTGCTCAATGTCTTGCAATAATCAGGCTGCCCAGCCTGGTTACATGATGTGTTATAACCAACAAGGTCCTCAAATATGTCAACCTCAGACTTCGAATTACATGCCATGTATGAGTAACGCTGCAACAGGCTCCAGCACAAATCAATTTCCCAAACCACCTCAGAGCGGAATGACCCAGTACTCTCCCAACCCAAGTTTTCAACAGGACAATTCTGTAACTTTTCAGCAAGGAATAAATAACTGGCCTAAAAAGTCTAATGACGAGTTTGTCACCAATATGAATAAGAATAGTTTTTCAGAAGGTGAACTTAACAGAGCCTCACCACAACGACGATTTGGAGATAGCTGGTCAGGGAGACAACAGAGAGATTTTGGTAGAGGAAGGGGAAGAGCTGACTTTGCCATTCGTTCCTGGCAGGGTAACACAAGAAGCCAAGACAGAGAATGGCGATTTGGAGACAGGTCCCGAAACAATGAGTTTTCTGATAAAAGAGGCGTAGGAAGCCCAGACAGATCCCCTGGCAGAGGACAATATTCTAAACGTGGCCGTTGGTCTGGAGGAAGAGATAGAGGTGGAGAAAACAGAGATACTTGGCAGCAAAGAAATCGACAGGATGATACCCCTTTGTGGTCTGACTCCTTTGCTACACAAGGCAGATCCAGTTCATGTCTGGATGTAAATCCTCAACATCAGGCTGACAAGAGTGATGCAGGAGATGAAGATTGGGAGACTGACTATACTGATGAGAGAACATCTAAACTTAAAACAGAAGAGTCGTCAACTCCAAGTGGATTGAATTCCAGCACATCTGTGGTATCTTCGCTTACAAGTGACTATGTGACATCCAAAGGCATAAAGTCACCACAAAATCAGAGTTCACCAAAAGACTTTGATCTTCTCAAACCAACAGAAGTGAAAGCTCCAAAAGATGAAGAATCCGCTGTTGAGGCTGACAAACCCCAGGGCACTGATTTTGATAAGTTCCTCAAGGGTTACATTTCAGACATGGTTTGCAGTAAGGTAGATGGAAATGGAGACTCCAGCTCTGAGCAGGTGGAAGTAGAAGAAATTGAAGCCAAAATTCCACATGAGGATGACAATCCCTCCACCATTGTTCTTCCAACAGAAGAAACAGTGAATCGCCTTCAGCCTGTGCAATCAAATGAAGACGTCAGGGAAAAAGATGTCTATACATTGGTGTTCTCTGTAGAATCAGAAGAAAACAAGGAGATTGTACTTGAGCTGGTGGAAGCCACAGACGGCTAAGCATACCAGTGAATTTTCCATCCTGTTGGGGGAATTATGTTTAATTTTAACATTCAGTTAAATTATTTTTTTTATTTGTTTCTTGCATATTACCTGTGAATATTACTTTAAGTATTGTCAGTAAAGTTGGTTAAAAAGAAGAAAGGGTTCAGTCAACAGCGATTCGTTTATTATTAAAATTACAACAAACAGTAGAAATGTAATAGTCTGGTTCTCTTCATTTAGCCACGGAATGATGTTTGACACATTTTTCTAAATCTACCTAATTAAGGTATCGTATATTCCTAACATGTTCCTTGTTGGTTTATCTTTTCTTATTTTTCACTGGACAGTATATTCAGCCAGAGATGGTTGACTGTGATTTTTTTAAATCTGCAATGATTTCAAATTGTAGAAATTGCTCTGGTAACTAATGTTATATTTGTGTCTTTTGTTTTGTTTCTTTGATTTCTTTACGTTTAGAATTTTCCCAAATGTTATAAATCTTCCATGTTTTATCCATGTTTTGAGAGTCCTGTGCAAGTGCTATAAAGCCTGAGTGTTTAATGGGTTTAAAGAACCCTTCAAACAGGCCACTGTTTATAGTAAATATAGACAGGTCACTTTTTTATTCTCCACGACCAGCTGGGACTGCTAGGGTGTTCCCAGTAAGGCGTGGGTACTTACTGAACTTCAGTGCCCCTTTTCCTACAACCATTTGTGGGTTACGCCATTTATCAATTTTGCAAATTGATTTTGCATCTGCTAGATATTTGGCTGGCACAATGCACAGATTGCAGGTTAAGAGGTTATGTATGACAGAGTCCCTTTAAAGTGTGTTGGGGAACATATGAGAGCATAGGTGTGGTGGTAGTTCTGAGTAAAGTGAAGTTAAACATGAGGAGCATATGGCTGCACAGTGAGAAGTTCTGTCTGTCAAATAGGGTGCAGTTTGAGTCAGCAGAACTTTATATGTTGTAACTATTGGGACTTAGTGAGGGATCTGATAAAAGATTGCTTAGGAGAGAATCTTGCGCAGAAAGGACTCTTCAGAGTGAGTACAGGAGAACAGTTACCTTGTAGACAGATCTAGCAAGTGGTAATGAGAAGCTAGGCAATGTGCTAATTACTAGTACAATGAAAGGCGCATACAAGGAGGCATTTGAGAAGCATCGTAAAGATGGGAATTATATTCCTGAGGACTTCCTTCTTTTAAAATGTTCCCTCATAGATCTGTTAATACTGCACGGGATACTGGCATCAGGTAGTATTTGTAGAAGGATATCAAGCAATAAGTATAGGTATTCCCTCTGTCCGTATTAAGGAAAATAAGTTTAAATGTATGTGCAGTATATGTTCTGTGACAAATACAATATGATTGATTATGTTTAAATGTGTTATTCAGTGTTTGTGTAAAGTAATAAAACAATTTTTTTGTTTAGTTTTTATGCATTGAAGAAATATATTTCTGTATATTTTTACTTTTGTTAAAGGGCTTTTCAAAAAATACCTCAGTTCTGGTAGTCCCCAAGTAATTATTTTACTTTATACGTTAAATGTAAGCCTCAAGTAGTTTTATATTTATTTCACTTTCTCAGTTTTACATACAAAACTGCACTATAAGGAATTTAAATTAAGTATTTCTAAAATGTTCATATTACTTAGAACAAATGATAGATTCATCTGGTTTTATCATGAGCAGAATGTAATCATATCATTTAACTGTCTTTTATGCATACAGAATATATAGAATAAAACCAAATGTAGTGCAGGTTATTTAAAGGATAATATCGGATGTGTGTGTGTGTGTATATATTAAAGTTATATAGCGCCAACGTATTTCAAAGTGCTGTACAATAGAAAACAAGACAAACATTTAATTATAACAAAACGTGCCATAGGGGAACTATGAGTGAAAAGGGCCCTGTCAAAACAAGCTTCAATCTAAAAGATAAATGTTTTCATACTTTGATTACGAAGGATCAGGAATGTGATAATGATTACACCATACCCACTGTGTGGTGTTCAGCATTATACATTGTTCACACCTATAAATTGCCCCATGTCTTTGGTGACACAGTCAATTCACTCGTGGGGACCTCATCACATTTCATGTGCAAACCATGACACAAATGTGTCTTGGTATTAATAGGGTTAAGGCTACACAGTATTGTTCAAAGAGGCCTCTTCTCTAGAAAAAACTGTCGCCCTCATCACATCCATTCACTGTCCGAGAGTGCCAACTAAGCACATGCCTTTATACCCAACCCAACCAGCTCAGAGCTTCTGTTTGGGATCAGGGAGAGAAAGGGGGAGCTCTATTGACCCCTTTCTATCAGCTCTGGGGGAGGGAGGTAAAAAGTGAAAAGGATTTTACCTGCGTCAACAGAAACCTTCCAAAGTGAGGACCTGCTGTAAGAGCATCATATGGTTTTTTTGGACAGTAGCCTAGTCTGGGTCTTTTCAGCGTTTGTCAGCGTGGAAGAGAGACATCTGGCACCTGTCTCCTTGTTTGAACACCTATCACAGGTAAGGCAATGTTGGCCGTTTCACTCACATCTTGTGTATATAAGAAGCTTAGAAGAGCTTTTAAAGTTTAGCAGAGAAAATTAATTCTTATTTATATATGTTTGGTTTTTTGTTTTTGTTTTTTTTTTAAGAAAAACCTGCTGGAAAGTTTTGAGGATTTTTTTGTTTTAATTTTGTGACATTGAACAGTTTAGTATTTATTTTTGTAAAATAATTTTCCTTTTTTTTTCCCTCTCAAGTATTTTAAATGCACGTGTAATTGTATGTAACAGAAAAAAATTATATGGCGAAGAATTTAGGATCTCTAACATGTATAATGTGTCGAACACTTGATTTTTCAGTTTCATTTAAGAGGTCTTTCTTGGTCAACACAAATCATTTCACGCATTGGTGTATATTTTTTATATTTATTTTCATTTATTTGCTGGAATTTGAGTTAAATGTTAGCAATCCTTTGTCACGTACACATTTTTTAGAACTGGTTTAAAGAAATTACCCGTGGCTTTTATATATTTAAAGGTGTGTGCTTTGTATTTGGAAGAAATTTCTAAACACAAATAAAAGATCATAATATGTACCTAATTACAAACTTTTTAAGGAAGTTTTTTTTATTTTGTTTTTGTTTTTACAAAGCAAACAATATAAAAATATATTATTAGTCATAAATAGTTAACATACCTGCAGTTCTGCAAAATGGGAAGTTGAGATATTAGTGGGATGAATGCCCAAGATTTGTACAAGGCTTATAGAAACATTATACTGACCAAAAACACAAAATCATAATAATCCAGTTTCACATAAAATTATAAATGATGTTTCATTTACTGTATCCTAATTTATTTTAGGTTAAGAAAATGGTCAGTTTAAACGGAAACAAACAAAACATGTAGCGTCTAGGTTACTTTTTTTTAACCGATGACACGTGTGTATCTCTTCTGCCAGTCTGCTGTGTTTATATATGATTGATACCACAGGCGGTAATGTCATCTGCTAGTTCTATGTGTGCAATGGGAAAATAATGACTATGCATACTCGGTTGAGTGATAGCAGTGATGGTCTGCACTCTAGAAATGTTGGAAGTGATAAAGCGATATGAGATGTGAAAGCATTTTATGTATCAAAGCATTAGGCCAGTGGATCTCAGCTGCGGGTCAACAACTTGATGTTTGGCGTATTAGGTCACCCATAGATTCTGGGCGATTTTTTTTTTTTTATGTTGACTTAAACACCAGCATATATGGTTTAATTGTAAATAATAAAATTCTGTATAATTTAAACAGTTGGAGTCGTGGTACCATAAATTGATAAGTCGGGGTGACGATTTTATGTGCCAACTCCACAACCACGGTGGTGACATATTAAACGTTCTAGTGTATGTTAACCGAATTGTTTTAAATTCAAAGCTGATTAATAAACAGTGAACTATGGCCATTTACAGATCATTTAGGAGCTTTAGAAACAAATGGCATTTTTTTTTTTTAATACATATACAGCAGTTTGTAACTCCAACCTTTTTTTTTCTACAGGTTCTCATCTAGCTCCCACCTACAATCAAGATGTATAGTTTCATGGGAGGAGGTCTATTTTGTGCCTGCGTAGGCAACATACTACTGGTCGTATCTACAGCAACTGATTACTGGATGCAATATCGTTTGTCAGGGGCATTCGCCCACCAGGGTCTCTGGAGATACTGTGACACTGCAAAATGCTACATGCAGACTGAGAGCATTGGTACATCAATATTTTTACTTATTAGCAAGCTAAGCTTCTACTCAGTTAGCGAAATTCATTTGAAAAATGTGCAAAAGATATAAAAGTGAGACCACTAGCGTTTTTCAAACCAGGCTGACAACGGCTTTTAATATACACCTTGAACGATCACCAGGACTTATAAATGGATCTAAATAACTATCAAAATTAAACACATTCCATTTATTGTATTACATTTGTTTGCTAGTGGATCAGTGACATTATCTGACCTGATCATATATCTTAAAGGAACACTAAAGCATAAGGATTGCAAACATGCATTCATAATGCTATCGTGATGTAAAGGAAATACCAACAAATAGTGGGAAAATACAATTGAAAGAGTTAAAAAAATAAACTTTATTCATTTTTAGTTAAAAAGATGTAGAAATAAAACAAAACCATAAAAAGTGTGTGTACAAGCCTGAGAAGCCTTTGTGAGGTTGCTTTATATAAACTGGCTTGTTGTTCAATAGATTGCTATTTTTAGTCAGCAGAGGGCTCTCCAGTCTCGATTACAGTTAAGGAACAGGTTCCATAGTACCAGCAAGCTGAGTAGTTTGTATGAGACTAAAGTTTATCAACAAAATAAGCTAAGCTTTCCACTTAGTATTCCAAAAATGTATAATTCAAAATAGAGTCTTGGAGGAATCTGTCTTAGAAAGGTGATACAGGCGTCTTGATTTGCCTTTTGATGGTGGTCCCCCATTCACAGTAGGGCATTCAGATTATGTCAGCCTTTTATGTGCTCAAACTCTCACTACTCCAGGGCGGCAGCAATGATTATAGTACACATCAACCCCAATACATACAATAAAAACAAAAGAAACAAAACGTTACTTGCGCACTATCCCAAACCTATCCCTATGTACATTTAAATGTTAATTCCTGTTACAGTCTGACATGCTCTTATGGCGGTGCACATTCCTCAATCACATTAACATATTACCTCACCCGTGACTCACTACAACCAGCATATGTAAGTGTTAGCATTTGTGTAGAGCTTGTCACAGTGACCTGCTAAAACAATATGGAAACAGGACTTCAGCCTTATTGTGGCTCATATCCAAACATGGTCTAATACCATTTAAATAGCAAGCAGTGTGATCTACATTACCAAAAAGTGGGACAAAAAAAAGGTTGGAAAACCATCTAAACAACACACCGTGCATTGTGTTAAAGGTCACAAGGTCTCTTGCCTGACGTACGTTTCACTGCCGAAAAGCACCATCATCAGGGACCCACACTAATTGGATCTAGCACCAAAATGTTTAAATATTTTGCTGAATTTTACTATTTTGTTCTGTGTGAAAAAGTCAGCCAGGTCTAAACTCTGGACTTTTGACACCAGAGTCCAACTATCAACCTATGTACTATTGCTATAGTGTTCTAGTCATGAGTTACATTCAGGGTCTCTCTATTTGTCCTGTAAATAAATTGTGGGATAAGATTTTATTTACCTTTCTTTCCAGTGCTTAGACTCACTCGGTGCTGCCACCTTCTCCCCTCTTCCCCCCCGTAACATCACCCTTGAGGCATCGATTCCTGGCATCTTGTCCAATCCAATGCCCCTCATAGAGGAGATGAGATGGATGAAATCTATTGAATACAATGCTTCCCTATGAGCTGCATTTGATGATTTTCGATGATCTTATGGATTTCGAACATCACATGGCCAAAAGAAACTCAATCTTTGCAGTGCAAGGGCCTCTAGTGGCTGCTAGGAAGACAGCCGCTATAGGATTGTTTAACCTTTCAATCAAAACGTTGTATCTACTAAAGCACTATGTCTTAAACTACAGTGGTCTGGGTTTCTTTAGTGGTCATAACACCTGCTGTGTGTATACATAATATTTCCTGGTTATGTATGGAAGCAGGGTAGGGTACAAGATGCTATGCTGAGTAAGCCAGAGATGGATTACAACTAGCATCTTTGATTTTCTCTTAGAGTTTTATACATGAATTTTGCAAGCGGTCTGTAAAAATTATCCTGTTCGCTTACAGCAGGAGTGGCCAAAACCCCATTTACTGTGAGTTTAACGTCTTGTTCATCCTTAGCTTACTGAGTATCAGTTAGTGTTAGTGATCGGTGATGGACTAGTTTAGCACTACAGGGGTTTGTGATTCTACTGACTAGCCATTACCACCCCATGCACTTATTGTGTTTCTCTGTTGAACATCGTATAGTCCAATGCACCCAATCCTGTCTATGTTCTCTTGCAGCTTACTGGAACGCCACACGGGCTTTTATGATCCTGTCTACTTTGTCCTGCTTTGCTGGTATCATCGCTGGAATTCTCTCCTTCGCTCACTTCTCCACTTTCCAACGGTTTAACAGATCCTTTGCTGCTGGGATCATGTTCTTTATTTCCAGTAAGTGCAGTGTATAATACCAGAGAATTATACAGCGAGTTGATCTCACTCCTCACTGCATTCCTATCTGCTTTCAGCAAAACCATCATGATTGAGCGATTTTGGTGCTTAGTGTCCCTCTTCAATATACTCAATACTTGATAGTTTGCTTATAAAATATTTTTATATTAATTACCAGAATTCACTAAAAATCACTGTAAATGATTTTAGCTTGTCTTGCATAAAATTTACAGCTACTTCCGATCTTCAAATATCAGACATATTTTCCTAGAACTGAATTAGCCAAAAGCATATTTTTATTGCACAGGATATTCAGTTTGATTTCAAGTCTAAATGAGTTTTGCATCAAATAGAACTCTAGATTATCTCACAGTTGGCTGGGCCACTTTAATAGCCACATTAAGTATTCTCTTCTTTACCTTGACCCTGTCCCCTCTTTTTTTTTTAATTCTTTATTTATGAAGTAAAGGGTTCGGCAGTACAGAAGTAAAAAAAGAGTATGAAATGTCATGGTACAGTGACAAACATCACAATACAATACATGTAATCAGTTGTGCCTTGTCTCGTACATAGTATTATAAACAATAATGTTGATAATCAGTTACATTGTGGGCCAATCTGCGCTTGTCCTCTTTCTTGCACTCACACTAACAAAATGATCTCTGTCTATTACCAGCCCTGTTTGTGCTGTTGGCCATGGCAATCTACACAGGAGTAACCGTCAATTTCCTTGGAAAGCGTTATGGAGACTGGCGTTTCTCATGGTCCTATATCTTGGGTTGGGTGGCTTTGCTTATGACCTTCTTTGCAGGTAACTCATGTGTGCGCTTAGATTTTTATGATCCTTATAAAGAAATCTGTTAATTAAACCCTGTACTCACACCAGAGCTCAAGACTATTTATTGCTTCATTTATCAAAGTAAACTGTGCAAAACTCTAGCCCTACTGTTTTGATCCCTCCATTACTTAGAGACTTTAACTCTTCGCAATCAATGCTTGGCATCGCATCCTGACTACTTTGAGGAAATGCCTATTCCTTAATACTCATTGTGATACATTTCATATCCCTCATTACTTTCATGATTGTGTTGTCTTTAATCTGTTGCTACTTGCATGTTTAGTTCAGTTGCATTTGATGTTTTTCTGAGCTACTCAAAACGTAAATAAAAATTATACCAACTCCAGAAACTATGATAGTAACAAATATGAGAGCCTGAAACAGGGTGTGTGTTTGTCAGGGCTTATCATTTGCACTAGCAGCTAGCCATTGGCAAGTGAATATTTAGCCCTGGCGAGTAGAAATCCGCTCCTGTTAAGTGTCATGGACCCTCCAGGTTTGCCCCTAGCATGTCATTTTTAAGACCTGGCTAGTAGTGTAGGAATTATGGTAAATATGCAGGTATGACACATATTTATCATTCCTTCTCAATGTGTGACATATGTAATGCACTCTAGATGTGTTAAAGGGACACTGAAGTCACCAGAACAACTGCAGCATGATATAGCTCTACAGGCCTTTTAATGTAAATGCTGTCTTTTCCGAGAAAATACAGTGTTTACATTGCTGCCTAGGGACACCTCCAGTGGCAGTCACTAAGACAGTCACTAGAGGTTCTTTCTGGGTCACTGACATCTGCGATTCCATGCTCTGCATGGAGACTCTGAACGTTCTTCATAGAGATGCATTGATTCAAAGCTGACTGGCACATTGCGACGTTTTGCCACGAATGCTCAATAGCCTCCCACTGCTTTGATATATGAAAGCATTGGATTGGCTGAGATTGTCAGTTTTTATGATCTCAGCCAAGGAGCCAGAGTGAGGGCAGAGCCAGCCGTGGCGGAAACGTGCGGCACTGGAATAAAGGTAAATGTATTACCTTGTTAAAGTGTGCCAAGTCGGGCCTGGGGCCTAAACTGCATTTTAACGCTATATAGAGAGGAATACATGTTTGTATTCCTGTCACTATAGTGTTTCTTTAAAGTCAGATAGTTTTCTAAAGGAAATATATATTCATGCATTAAATGGCACTCTAGGTTAGAATTAAGCTATTCTTTAATGAATTGTTGCATTTGATAATCACAGCGCTAGAGTAACACTCTACAGGGCCTGGTGCAGGAAACTCGTTTTGAAGTTTCTCAACCATTCAACATAACTGTACATTCAAATGTAATGAGTGTTCTGTTACAGCTTTGTAATGTTCTGACTGTATGTATGTGTTACTCCATTAAATGTAAAGAGAGTGAGAGAATCAGAGACAGATTACATTACTAAGGTAGATAGATGGATTGCAGTGCCTATCACTTTTAGTCATTCCCCCAAAAACCACATACATATAGAAATGGTGAATTGACAAATTGCTACAAACCCACAAATATGATGAAACTTCCTGATGGAGCTTTTTGTATAGTTCAGCTTGAAGAGTGAAGCAATTTGCAAGTAGGGAGATTATAATATGTGAAGTGGCTTATAGGAGAGGCCAGACTTATCTGCAGAAAAAAATGACCAGAAGTTTAATTTTCTATATCTGATGGGTTTACATATTGACGTTAGTACAGTGCAAGTACTCGGCCATACTTAATTGCATAATTTTTAATTCATTCTATTATGAGCAATTTGCAGACTGGGTTTCAGCTTGGTACAGTTCTGAGTTTAGTAATAACCCTGTATATATTTGTTTTTATCTCCGAATATTACCCATTGCCCCACCTTGAGTTGTCTGATCACACTTCTTTGTGTCATTGCAGGGATATTTTACATGTGTGCTTATAGGATGCACGAGTGTCGGCGAGTGACGGGACCACGTTAACGCAACACGAACAGTTGCATGACACCTCTCGGATAAAGAAATCATCCTTCAAAGGAAAAAAGGAAGCAGCTACTTATATTTTAATCTTCATTAGCCAATTGTGTTTGCACTTCAGCAGTAAGGTGACCATTATATAAGTTTTAGAGTTGATTATTAGAAGAAAATTAAGAAATCACTGTAGTGATTATTTGATATGATTTTTGCCCTTCAAATCACATTTTAACAGGAGTAACACGGTATTTATTGATAACAAACATAGGACCTATTTAGCAATGTCAAACTGCAGCATTTCTGTCACAAAATGTTAATATGATACAAACGGTAAAAACACTAACGGTGGTCACTATGCTTTCAGCTAAGTGGCTCTAAAAATGTATAGTATACAAAATAAACCCAGTTGTTGGGGCCTTCGCTATTTGGATGTTGTTTGACTACATTGCTTGCTTCTAGTGAAACAATTTTATTTGGCAAAGACAGAGCGATCACTTTGTTCCAAAATTGTACCTATTTTGCTTTGATAGGTATGGTCCACGGGGCAAATTTGTAGAAAACAACACATAAGCCACTTCCATAAAAAACAATATATAATTAAAGTTTTCCTCAAATGACAAAAAATATTCTGATCAAAACAAAAACATATGACCAATTCTATATGACATATGACATAGGTGTCTTCAGTTTTAAGGTGATTCCCTCATCTAATCTCTTGATGGTATGATGTATGTGTCTTTTCTTAAGTCCTTTTAGGTTTTCTCCTGAATGAATAATGGGATTGATGTTTGCCCAAGTAACATAACAAATTTCATCCAGTTAGATACAAGTGATGAATCCTGTTGGGCAAAAAACATTTTCCAGGCAACACAGGCGTCCATTAGAAGTCCCCAACAAATCTTGGTTTCATGCAGAGTTAAACAAATATTGTTTTGAAAGACTGACACTGAATCTGTCAATGAAATTTGCGTTAATAAATTTCTGAAGAATCTAATATCTTTTAGAACTGGTTATCTGTGTACTTTTGGATCAGAATACTTTTTTGCACTTTGAGCGAAGTTTTTTATTTTAAGTGTGGCTTTATCTCATCTAAGCTATATATTGTCTTCTACACTTTTGGTTTATTGCTTTATAAGTCAGTTGGTGTTCTAATCACTAGAGCAGCAACCTGTTTATTTTCTGATACCCTGCACTCTGTCTTTTTCACCATAGTACAAATCTAAAGGACTATTACTGAAAAAAGTGAAGCCACGTGCTTACATGTAGATGTGTGTGTTGACTTCTTTACAAAATCTGGGCTCGACATTTGGCTGTTTTTTGCCTAAACTCTTAATAAATAAACCCATAGCCTGCATATACCCCACACCGAGATGAACAGCCTCTGTTCACTGCATTTGAATATTCAATAGCTGATTTTGTTTATTAAATGAACATTATTTATTTAGCTTTATTTGATGTTTATTCACTAAACCATAACTTGTATTGAGTCAACAGTGAAGTTCCAAAAACCACAAATTTGGGGTAAATTTTCAGAGTCAACAATTTTTAGTCTAGATTTACAGCATTCCACCACTCAATATCTACAGAATAAACATCTTGGAATTATTGCTATCTTGTCTTTTTTTTTTTTTATGGTCTACATATTGATCTGTGCAAGATTTCTACACAACAATATATTTCTTTATGAAAACCGTTCTTAATAGAAGGACAAGTCATCATTAGTTAGCCAGATATATCCTAACATTATGTTATGTTGGATTACTAGACTGAAGATACATATGACAAACTGCACCAGTAGCCATTCATTGATGATTTTTTTTTTTCTATACTGTGTGTATAGAAACATAGAATGTGACGGCAGATAAGAACCATTCAGCCCATCTAGTCTGCCCAATTTTCTAAATACTTTCATTAGTCCCTGGTCTTATCTTATAGTTAGGATAGCCTTATGCCTATCCCACGCATGCTTCAAATCCTTTACTGTGTTAACCTCTACCACTTCAGCTGGAAGGCTGTTCCATGCATCCACTACCCGCTCAGTAAAGTAATACTTCCTGATATGATTTTTAAACCTTTGTCCCTCTAATTTAAGACTATGTCCTCTTGTTGTGGTAGTTTCTTCTTTTAAATATAGTCTCCTCCTTTACTGTGTTGATTCCCTTTATGTATTTAAATGTTTCTATCATATCCCCCCTGTCTCGTCTTTCTTCCAAGCTATACATGTTAAGATCCTTTAACCTTTCCTGGTAAGTTTTATCCCACAATCCATGAACCAGTTTAGTAGCCCTTCTCTGGACTCTTTCTAAAGTATCAAGATACGATCTCCAGTACTGTGTACAATACTCCAAGTGAGGTCTCACCAGTGTTCTGTACAATGGCATGAGCACTTCCCTCTTTCTACTGCTAATACCTCTCCCTATACAACCAAGCATTCTGCTAGCATTTCCTGCTGCTCTATTACATTGTCTGCCTACCTTTAAGTCATCAGGTAGGCAGACAATGTAATAGAGCAGCAGTATATATTATGCTTGTGTCTCAGGTCTGTTGTGATCCACTGGAATTTTGGTTTGCGTTTCAGTAACACCAACATCCATTTTTAAAGTATCACTAAAGGGTCAGGAATACATGTTTGTGTTCCTGACCCTTTAGTGATCCTTTAAAAATGGTGTTAACACCACCATCTAGCCCCCGGGACCCTCATGCCTAAATATAGTACAAATCTTACTGTATTCAAGCCAGAAGCTGTAACTCTGCATGCTGTTAGACTCAGAAAAACAAGCAGTCTGCTGACATGTGGTAGCCTGATCCAATCACAGTACTTCCCCATAGGATTGGCTGAGACTGACAAAGAGGCAGATCAGGGGCAGAGCCAGCATGATTCAAACACAGCCCTGGCCAATCCGCATCTCCTCATAAAGAAGAATTGAATCAATGAATCTCTATGAAAAAAGTTCACTGTCTGCATGCCGAAGGAGGAGATACTGAATCACAGGATGCTGTGCACAGTGCTGCCCTGTGCTCTGCTGACAGCAGATCTGAGTGGATGGAGGCATATTATGCCTCCATCAACTCCGAAGTCCCTCTGGTTCATTGCTCATAATAGAATGAATTAAAAATTATGCAATTAAGTATGGCCGAGTGCTTGCACTGTACTAACCGTCAGTATGTAAACCCATCAGATATAGAAAATTAAACTTCTGGTCATTTTTTGCTGCAGATAAGTCTGGCCTCTCCTATAAGCCACTTCACATATTATAATCTCCCTACTTGCAAATTGCTTCACTCTTCAAGCTGAACTATACAAAAAGCTCCATCAGGAAGTTTCATCATATTTGTGGGTTTGTAACAATTTGTCAATTCACCATTTCTATATGTATGTGGTTTTTGGGGGAATGACTAAAAGTGATAGGCACTGCAATCCATCTATCTACCTTAGTAATGTAATCTGTCTCTGATTCTCTCACTCTCTTTACATTTAATGGAGTAACACATACATACAGTCAGAACATTACAAAGCTGTAACAGAACACTCATTACATTTGAATGAACAGTTATGTTGAATGGTTCCCTATGAGTGACTGCAACTGGAGATGTTCCTAGCTTTCAATGTAAACACTGTATTTTCTCAGAAAATACAGTGTTTACATGAGAAAGGCTGCAGGGAGCTATAGTTCTTACCTGAACAACCTCATTAGCTGAAGTTGTTCAGGTGACTATAATGTCCCTTTAATCATTTTCCCTGATATTAACTTTAACGTAGCTGTTTAAGACAATAGCATATACTTAAGCCGTTACTTAATATTGTTTTTGTTGGTTATGTTAGCACATTAAATAAGTTATCAGTGCAGTGTAAAATGTTCTATACTATATTTTAGTGCCTTCCTTAAAGGGACACTTCATTGAAGTGGTTATGGTTCCTGAAATCATGGAAATTCCAATATTCAACAGGATGGTCCAGAGTAGTTAGAGGAATTAATAGCTTTATTAAAAGTAAAATAAATATTAAAAATAAAATAGCAGGTAAAACAATAATAGAATAAAAACATGTTTCGCCACTGGTAACACTTGAAAAAGCCATATGCTGTGGCGAAAATCATTTTTATTCTATTATTGTTTTACCTGTTATTTTATTTTTAATATATATATTGTGATCCTTGTCTGCAGATAGCACGGTCCTCTAGGGTAAACAACAGGCACAGTCTTTTGGTTTTCATGTAATCCAGGCAGTTTTATTGTTAAACTCCACCACAGCTACAGCAGCAAATAAAAAAAAAAAACACAACAATAACACATCCCTATAAACAAAAGCCTAGCTCATCTGAGCACTAACTAACATCAAGTTCCCACTCTCTCAAGGGTTTAAACTATAACAGAACAAGAAGTGGTTTCACCAACCTAGTGCCTTTGTCAGCCTGCTGCTTCCCTTTCTACACTCCCAGTGCTCCAAGCCAGCCTTAACTGCTTTCCTTTTGCACTTCCACTGCTCAGTCTCCTTGACTCTCTCACTGGAGAGAACAGCCTCTCTCCAACCTGCTTCCAGGGAGGAAGACAGCAATCCCCCCTTTACCTGCATAGCAGGGAGGGGTTTATTCCCACTGCTACAGCTGATTATCTGCAGCTGAGCAGTGGGTTGGAGACAGATCCAAAAAACTCTGGACTGGACCTTATTTCTCCCAGTTGTGTATAAACTGCGGAGTGGAGCATTGGCCCACCCTGCTCTCCAAATTCTCCACCCCAGGTGCCCATAACTAAACGGTGGTTTGTGTTGCCTACAACACATACTACACATACTCCCTCTGGGGCTAAAGCTGCCTTCACTTTATCATAATATATATATATATATATATATATTTTTTTTTTTTACATTTAATAAAGCTGTTAATTTCTCTAACTACCCTGGACCATCCTGTCTAATACTGGAATTTCCAGGATCTTTCTGGACTTCGTTCTCCAAGGTGGGGAGTGTACCAACAGAGCATTATGGAATGAGCAAAACCTTACTTTGCTCCTGAGCAAGTAAGTGTATTTTCAACTACATCAACTACCTAATTACACAGTGTGTGTTTAAGTCTTCTTCTTTGACTTCTTGGGTGTTCTCAACAACACCACTTTGTGTATCTTCAGATTGTTAAGAAAGCCCACTCCAGAGACGGACTGACTGCGAAATTAGGTCCTTGGCCCTTTGAAGGCCAATATATATGTATTAGATAAATATTAAATATGTTTCATATAATGTTGGGTATTACTTTTGTTGCCTTTAGTGTTGTTTATGAATGCATTTTTGCATTTGAGCATGTAAAATCAGTGTGAATTTACATTCTTGCATCTTGTGCCATTATGGATGCATATGTGTGTTTGTAGAATGCCAATATGTGTGAATTCAAGAATATATATGAGTGTAGTGAAACTGTGTCAGTGTCGGGATACATTTTTTTACCGCAAGCATATTAATGCAATATTGTATTTATATGTAATTTCAAAGTATTATTGTATGCGTCAAAGTAATGTTAATTTTGTGTAATGCTGATCTGTGTGAAATCCAAAGAACTTTTTGTGTAGTGGCAGTGAAAATAAGCAGAAGGTTTTTTGCATGCAGTGTACATGTATGAAGGGCAAGTGTTCTATTAGAATGTAGAACAGATATGTGTGAGTGCAGGGATTTATTTATTGGGATTAAATGCAGGAGTGTGGTATTATGGAATTTTGGTGTGTAAATACAGGAGTATATTTGTTTAAAGTATCATTGTGTGTTGGAGGTATTTGTGTGCAGTGCATGTAAAGGAAGGGATATAAAAGGCATTTTTTGTTGAAGAAGCTGTAGGTGTAAATCAAGGTGACTGCTTGTGTGTGAATGTCTGTCTGTATTAATGTGGACAGTATGTGTATGGTGCAGGGATAGAGTGTGTGTGTGTAGTAGTCTATTTGTGAGGAGTGTCAGTATGTTTGTTGCAAAAGTGTGTGCATGTAGATTACCAGTCTTTGTCAACATGTGCGTGACTCAGATCCAGTCCAAGACATTGTGCCGTCTGGGACCAAGGATGAAATGCTGCCCCCCAACCCTGCCCATGAGTCCAAACACAGGGCCCGCCGGATAAACACACATACACTTATACACACAGATACAGAAATACATACAGTGACACGAACACACACTAAGTCAAATAGTGTATATACATACAGAAAGACACAAACGATTAGATAATATATCACACAGATATACACCGTGTGACACACACATTCAGATATATACATAGAGTGACACAAAGTCAGATAATATACACACTGTGGCATACAGTCAGATAATATAAACTCAGATATACATACAGTGAAGGAAGAAGTATTTGATCCCCTGCTACTTTTGAATGTTTGCCCACTCACAAACAAATGATCAGTCTATAATTTTAATGGTAGGTGTATTTTAACAGTGAGAGACAGAACTACATTGGAGGATCTTGTTAATGATCTCAAGGCAGCTGGGACCATAGTCACCAAGAAAACAATTGGTAACACACTACGCCGTGAAGGACTGAAATCCTGCAGCGCCCGCAAGGTCCCTCTGCTCAAGAAAGCACCTGTATAGGCCCGTCTGAAGTTTGCCAATGAACATCTCA